ATGATAATTGAAGAAATCGATCTCATAGTTAATTCTATATTATTCGCTAAACAGAATGTACTGCACCCTCACATAATATCTCCAAAAGAAATTTATCACGAATTAACCAGCAACATTTCAATTCTAAAACATAAAGAATTCCCAGTTCCACTCACTTTAAAAGATATTCATATACTCATAGATATTTCAACACTTAATGTATTCTATATGAATTTCAAATTAGTTTTTGTTTTAAACATCCCATTTGTTACTTCTCAAGAGTACAAACTATATCACGTATTTCCACTTCCAATACCTCATACTGTTCAAGATTTAACTTATGCTCTTGTCCAACCAACTTAAAGATACCTCGGTGTAACTACTAACCGTCATTCATATTTACAATTTAATAACCTCGATCAATATAAGAAACTCTCAAGAGAACATTTTATATGTCAAGATTTAAATGATTATTCTGCAATGTCTAATCCCTCGTGTGAATCATCATTAATTACTAAAGTTTAAAAAGTATTACCTAAAGAATGTATTACTAAGTTTATGTATAGTGATGTCGAAATATGGCAAAAATTAGCCAATAATAGATAGATATTTATTAATTCAAAAGCAACCAAAATTACTATTGATTGCTCAGGTAAAGAACTAAAAGATTATGAATTATCTTCAACAGGTATAATAAAGTTAGATAGAGATTGTAAAGGTTACGCAAATTTAATTCAAATCACTGCAACTAGTGATATAATAACTAATTATACTTCTCCAAATATTGATATTGATTTAACTAAAAGTGACTGTTGCAACGATGCAGTTCTCAATAAAATTAAACATTTATTTACTCCCTTTCATATCAACAATATACGAGTACAATTAGATGATCTTAATTTAGCTTCTGTAAAGCTCTCAATTGAAGAACAAATAACTACTAGAGAAAAAGCTCGATATGATCTCCATTATAATGTACACTTACCCTACTTTTTAACGCTCTTCTTTTTATTTAAATTATGTAAAAGGTTTAGAAGAAATCCCAGAATTCAACCATCAGAAGATGATTACCATGATTATAATAATTAATGCACTAGTAGATGTTGTATTAGAATATTTAATCATTGTTATAATAAGAACCATGACGAAAGTATATCAACTACACCTAGACTTGAAATGCAAGATGTTAGATATATTACCACTCGAGATGAAGTAATAATTGACGAACCTACTACGAGAACTCCACTGAGACCAAAAAGAATACCAAGTTCTTCAGACGTAAGGCATTCATATAATCTTAGATATTGAACAGTCTTTAGTACCTAATAAAATAAAATATATAAAAAAAAAATTAAAGAATGTAATAATATTTTAATAAATAATGTAATGTTACAAATGTTATAATTATAAGAATATTGTTTAATTTTAAGTTTTATATCTCTTATTTTGGGACTATATTATTGGGAAAAAAAGATAATAGAAATAATAATTGTTATGAAAAAAATATATATATTGTTTAAAGATTATGAAGAAATTAATACAATTGAATGTTAATATAATAATAATAATTATATGTAAATCATCATTAATTTTAAGATAAGAAAATTATTATCAATAAATTTAAAGAAATTGTATTCCTCATATATTATAAGTAAATCAACTTGGTATAAACAATGTTAAACAACATTAAGTCTTTTAATTAATTTTAGATATATTGTTCAGTTTTAAGGAGAGAGGTGTTGTGTAAGCACCCTTTTTCCATATCATTTTTTAGTAATGGGCTACGTGACCAACAAGTAGTTCAGTTACGTAAATATCATCTTATCAAAATCATAAATCATCGTTAATAGTTTTGTTTTTTTCTAATAAATCAATTATTTTGGCAGTGACCCGAAAGGTCACTCCTAGTTATCTAATATGCTAAAAGATGCCGTGACATGTTTACGACGTGAACTATATTAAGGGTCAATTTAAAACCGATAGCAATAATGTAAAACGTAATTGATTCAAAACATCAGGAGTATATAAACCACCTGAAATCCAGCATTGATATAATTGTATACCATCTGTCTTAGTATAGATACCCCTCATCGTCATTCGCCTCATTAAAACTTCATAAACATCTGTGCCGCAAAATCGATAATATTGTAAAAACCGATGGAATAAATAAAAAAGACTTTTATAAAGTTAAGGTCTATTTGATTTCAACGACGTCACCGCAGCCAGCCACAAGGGGTAAATAACAATATGTCCAAATGTACCAGAAATGGTACAGAAGCTACAAGAAGTTCAGAGTCGTTTTCGAAATTTAGAAGAAGACATACTACAGCCTGTCGACATTGTTGGACCCTCGATTTAGAATGAGATTTTTTGCTACCGAAAATTGCGAACTGGTAAGAAGACTTCTAGAAGTCATTCAAAGAAGCGACCTTGATACTGGGAGCTCAAGCGAAGATGAAATTATAACAAACAGGGAAAGACCTCTACAAAATGTTACAAATTTTTTAGAGGAATTTCATGTGGCATTTTTTAATGATTATGAAGAACTTGCTTTGGCGAATGCTGTAATTTTGGAAGATCCTAAAAGCCCAATCGCTGTGGAATTGGACAGTTATGAAGGTCTTCTACCTAGAACCCTTTTAATTGGTAGGAAAAGCATAAGTCTAAATATGCACATTTAGCTAATTTAGCCAGAGTGTTTTTAAATGCTCCTGGTAGTAGTGTATAAAGCGAACGATAATTTTCTGAAGCAGGGAACCTATATGAAGAAAAACGTAACAGACTCTTGCCAGAGAGGGCTAAAATCCTGGTGTTTCTGCACCATAATTTACCATTAATTAATTATAAATATTAGAATATGTATATGTCTTTTTGCTTACCTTTTATTTTTTTCTGATCTCTATTAAATTTCTATAGTGTCTCTCTTTCTCTATATATCTTTGCAATAGTGTCTATTATTGACAATTTGCCACTTAAGTGTTTTCATAAAAAATTAAAATGTTTATTTAAGGTTTAAAAGAAATTTTGTCTATAGTTTAAGATACGAATATGTTGATTTGTGGTTTAAAAATATTGTTTTGAGTTTTGAAAATAAATGCTCATTTAAGATTTAAAATAAATGTTGACTATAGTGTAAGATTTAAATATGTTGATTTGTAATATTGTTTTGTGTTTTCAAATAAATGCTGATTCAAGAATTACAATGATTTGTGGTTTAAAAATATTGGTTTGGGTATTGAAATTAAATGCTGATTTCAGATAAATGTTGACTTTACTGACTATAGGTTAAAAATGAATATGTTAACTTGAGTTTTTAAAATAAATGTTGATTTGATTTGAATAAAGCAATTAAACATTGCTTTATTTTATTAGCTTTATTCAACACATTTTTCATAAAATTTCTATGTCTAATAATATAACATAAATCTCACATAAGACGTTTTGTCTTTATATTTCTATACTTTGTTATATAATAATAATAATCATAATTTATTTGCGCTTGAATAGGGTATACAAAAGAGATGTAAAAAGTAATACAATTATCACCTATTCAGCCATTAACAATTGCATGCAAATGTAGTAAAAGAAGCCACTATTAGCACTGATCAATCCACCCCAAGCTAATGTTCAGTTACTATAGTCTAAGAATTCATGCAACTAATAAAAGGAACGCTCAGCAAGCCAGTTATATAACTCCTTCTTAAATCTAGTAAGAGGTGTATTCTTTATAGATTCTGAAATCTTATTAAATATTGCTTGACACATACAGTAGCAGTTGTTTTTAAATTGTGCGCTTTTTGGGACTATGACAAGAACTAGCCTATTTTTATTTCTAGTGTTCCTGGGATACACTTCATGAACTATTTTGTAATAATCAGGGTATCGTTTGGCAAATTTTGCTGCTTCAAATATATATAAGCATTAACAAAAATATATATAATATATTTTCTGTAGTCAAATTAGAAATTACAGATTATTTAGAAAATTTAGTTTTAATATATACACATTTTATTTATTTATTATCATCATATTATTTTAGCTCATTTACATCCACTATTAGACATCTTGTTAGAGACATGCTCATACTTATCTTGATTCACCATGCCCTGCCCACAGCCAATTAACCTGCCTACTGCTCTTACATACATATTTTGTGCAAGTTTCTATTTATTTATTATCTGTTCTAGAACCACAATATCTAGTACTATTGTTACTATTGTCGCCCTTTTGGTGAACACATCTCCCAATAAGGTAAAGAATTAAAAATGGTAAATTAAGTCTGATTGCTCCTGAAAACTGTCTAAAGTTGAAACCGCAGATGCATTTGTAAGACACATCAGCGGTAGGTGTAAATTAAGGAACCATAGTTTGTTCAAGTTAATTTATTTTGAATATTTTTAAACTGCTTCTATTCTCATAAAGCCTAACTTAATACTCTCATAGTCTCTATTTTAACATATATTGTGGTAGGAGCAATCTGATATGTATTTAATAAAGCAATCTGCACTCACCTGTCGCCATAGCACTTAGTTCAGTGTCACAAATATATCTATTCATTGCACTTTCTGATACTCGATACTCGGTACTCGGCAACAGTCATTGAGACACAGAAATCTCTGGAATCCACACTGATGCTTAGAATGAAGAAATTTTTAGATAAAAAGCATCAATAAACACATGATCCCTCAGCTGGAAGAAGAGTCTCTGAGGTCCTGGGTTCGATTCCCCCTTGGGTCAATATAGAAAATTAATTTTACTATGTCTCGAGTTTGGGTGTTGTGGTACCTTCGTTGTCTCAGATACTCCATAATACCGAGACTTTAGCTACTCATCTTGGAATCAGAGCAATGTATGTGATGTTGTTATATATTAAAAAAATATATTATTATATTTATTATAGTCACTCTCATCCTGTTGTTTTTCGTTTCTTCGACAGCAATCTACGGGCTACTGAAAGGCTCATCTTTAGTGCGAAAAAGAGTTCCTCTCTAGGACACGGGAGACATGCGGCTTTAAGTCACCTCGGAACCGGCTGCGAGTCGTCTGCAGTGATGAACTCGATAAGGCAATATCCCAGTATCGCATCAGCAGGCAAAACTCCGTTTATTGCGCCTGTTGTTGGTGAAACATCTGCAAGTGGAGCAACTACATCGCGTTCGGAGCAGGTAAGATCAAGGCGTTCTTCCATTACCTTTTGCTTTGTTCACATCTAATACCAGAAGACGGTACTCAAAACACTTTTTTCTAATACTCCACTTGAAAGTAAATGTAAATATTTCATATTTTCTAACTTTTTTTTTAACTTCTTTTTTTATTTATGGCTTATCTACGCATTTCACACAATTTAAAAGTCACAACATGCCTACTGACAGTTGACAACTGTCATTTGTCAATATTATTGCAGCACTAGGGATAGTCGATATTTAAAAAAACATCGATATTGACATCGATGTCATCATCGTAAGCCCAACATCGATGTTCGATATTTATTGAAATCTGAACATCGATGTTGGAAAATGTCTATGATTTTTTGTAATTATTGTAATCTTCTTAAGGGCAACTTATTAAGTTTTGTTCTCAAAATAACCGATAAAATAAATAGTAACAGTCATTGAAGAACGCTGAAATCGACAGATTTATTTTTAACTTCCTTAGAAAATGCAAGCAGAAAAAAGCTATTTGTTTGGTTACTCCAGTTGCGAGTGCAATCGACGACATCTAGTGGAAATAGTTGAACTTGATATACGAGATCATCTAGCTAGTACATCTAGAGCACGTTTGATGACCCTAAGAATATATTGATATTTTATTCATAAACATCGTTGTTTGGCTAGAAAACATCGATGTGCCGATGTTATCGAAGTTAAAACATCGGTGTTTATTAAACATCAATGAATATCAACCATTCCTACTAAAAGTTCTCTGATTGACTCTGCAAGCGACGTAGGGATGATCGATATTAGAAAAACATCGATGTTGACATCAATGTCACCATCGTAAGCCCAACATCGATGCTCGATATCGAAAACTGAACATCGGTGTTGGAAAACATCGATGATTTTTTTGCAATAATTTACAAAGAAATAAAATACAGTGAAATCTTTCGAAATTTATTAAGAAACAGAACAAATTATTATATATTCCAATATTTTCTTTCAACTGATTGAAGGAAAATTAAAATGATGGAAAGAGGAAAAACCTTTTAATCTACTTCTTTATTGATAAAGAGTAGTGCCAGCTTTTGTAAACATGTATGTAAAATATATATTTTAAGATATGTATGTATTACATATACAGCGTGTTTGGTAATACCTGTATAATCCCGAGTATGGCACATACGGTATGATGAATAGAACCCAGAAAAATGATCACTAAGACTGAAACCCAGCACATGACCTAGATATTCAGCTTTTTTTCTTCGAAGTAAAACTGTACGCTGACAACCCTAAAAACAGCTGTTGTGTTGTATTTGGTCATCGACTCCATGTGCCGAACTAGTTTAAAAAATAACAGAAGTTAAATAAATCTAAAGATAAATGCCTAGAATAAATATGCATCTGAGAGGAATTTATTATTTCCAAACAAAGAAAAAGTTAGTAGTAAGTGACTTTTAACTATAAAAAAACACTAATCTTGTGATTAACGGTGTTTCAAAAACTATTAATATGAAAACTTCTGTAATAATACAGTCAAAATAAAAAAGAAATTGCAAATACTTTGATTGAAGTTTAATATCTGCACCATTGCTCACATTAGTCTATGCAAGAAGAAGCGACAGAGACATAAAATCGACGACGATGTGTATTGAGAAACTCGGGTTTTTGATGTGTCAGTAAGGTTCTGTAGATTAATAGCTTTGAAGTTTTGTTATTTTTTTCATAAAGCCGTGTTATTTTCACGAAACAATAAAATACGGACTTATACAATGATATTAATAATCTAAGTATCTCGCTTATTCTTAGTTTAAATGATAATTAAACAAAGGTTAGTTGTAATGGAAAGGTCTAATAATAAATAATATTTCTTTTCTTTTCTAATTTAATAAATATTTTTTTATGCCTTATAATTTTGTTAATGACTTGGTCTTAAATTAGGTAACCACTTTTAATATTATGGCCTTTTTTTCTTTTGTAACCGTGAAAAGCGTAAATAAAATTGTAATAATAAGTAAACAACCTAATTATCAATTTCGTCAGTAAAAAATAGTATGATAAGTTACTCTCAAATTTCATTGTTTAATTCAATAAAAAAATAACGATTTTTTGTTAGGTAGGTTACGTAACATAGAATTTGACGACGCGGAACCCCAAAATCGGTGCACTTTTGATTTAGGTACATTGGTGTTCGAGTTGCAATAATAATAACCTCTGTAGTTTTGGTCATCGCGTCAGTCGCGTCCGTGACTTTCATCGGCGTACTTGTGAGTTTTCAGAATTTAGAAGGTCAACTTACGTTTTCGTTCTTTTGGGACTTTTGGTTTGTTTTTCATTTTCGTTCTGTTTACCTGTGTATTATGTTTGTGTGCGGTCAGTGCAATGAATTCGTATTCAAATGCCTAATATTACGAGATGATAATGTTTGGCGGTGCTTGTGACGGTAATCTTGCTGTGGCTCGGCGGCGTTATGACGAGCGCCACGTGTCAGGAAGATCTGAAAACCATCGACGTCTTCCTTCTTACCGGTGATTCGCGGCACTTGTGAATTGGTTACATACAACTGGTTCATTCCATAGTGTGCCACAGGTAGGCCGGCCGAACACCTATTCCATCGAGACAGAGGATATGACTTTACGTCGAGAGTAACACGACACGGTCTGTGTCGAGTCGAATGGAGATGTGTGTTTTATGCGGTGGCCGGCATATCGAGACCCTGGACTGATAAAGTGGAGGTGAAGTGTAGGTAATGTTGACAAGTGAAAGCTGAAAGAGTGATTAGAACGCTGTAGGTATGTATCTATTTAATCTTACATTGTTTTAATCACAAGTAAACTCATACGTAGTCGAGTACGCGCGTCGACAACATCAAAATGTATTCAAGGAAACGAGAGAGTGAGAGGTAATGAGAGAGAGAGAGAGAGAGAGAGAGAAGCCTGGACGGCACGTATAAACTTACAGGGTTGTAGCATATTTATTGAAAACAAATTGTTCAAATATTTGTATGAAAATATCAATTTACATGGAATTGTTTTTTGACCTATCAATTGTGTTCTTTGTGCTAGGTTGTATGGCCATGTTTCGGGATTATACAGGTATTACCAAACACGCTGTATAAAAAATTGGATTTCTTTGTATCAAAATTTCGATGTTTTTGGTAATATCGATTAATTTCAATTGATACTAATATTATCAAATAATGCATTTGTCTTGCGTGAGGCCGTGAGTTAACATTGATGATTGATTTTATTAACATCGATGTTACGTTATTTTTTGTAAAGCAACATCGATGTTAAGACATAATTTTTTTAGCTTTCAACATTGTTGATTATCAAAAATCGATGTTATCGACCATCCCTATTTTGTAATATGAAATAAAAAAAAGTTTAGTTAGAATATCTTTCACGAAAGAAGTCTCACAACATAAATCTTATTCCTTTGTAATAAAAGCGAAAACATTGTGTTCCGAGGGCCTTCTTTCGTGACTTTAGGGACTTTAGTTAGTTTAGCATAAGTCATCATTCACACATGCGAAGCTACCAGATACAGAAAAAAGAATCTTCTTGAACTTTACGCCTTCGATGCACACAGAACACAGAAAAAATAAACTTCTTGAACTTTACAATTTTAATGCAAAAGTTATGTCGATGACAAAACATTGATGTTTCTAACTGAAAATCGATATTTATTCAACATCGATGAATATCGTTCATCCCTAAGGGACGTCAATTTCGTTTGAGGTTTTGAGTCCTAAGTGTAAGTGTAATATTAATAAGAATGTACAAAGGTGATATCAACTGGACTGCACATTACAGATATCGATATTGATAATTGTTTATAACGATGTTTTAGTTATGTTATACCCAGTGAAGGTATACCATATAAAGCAATATTGGGGCATGATTTCTTACAAAATATGTTATTGGTAATGAAAGTGGTTCTGTGTGGAGAAACATAATGATTGGATGCGAAAGAGAAATAGTTTTCCATGTTCTATTGATTCTATAGATTATATTCTAAATGCTGCTGTGAAGGAAGAGGTGGTTAAGTTAGTGGAAGAGTATAAAGCCGTGTCAAACGGAAGATGTACCTATAGAGCTGAAGATCACACTCAAGGATGACATTCCGGTCTCACAACGACCACAACGACTTTGTCCAAAAGAATGAGGTAAATCATCAATCAATGCTCAAGAGAAGGAATTATTTGAGTGAGTTTTTCGGATTATGTCTGACTTACTAGTCCACTGGTTTTCCTAATCAAGAAAGATTGTAGTCTTTGTATGTGTGATGATTATAGGAAGCTGAATCAGAAGATTGTAAAAGACAAATCTTTACCTGTTATCAATGAGTTATTGGATAGGATAAATAAAGTTATTTAGTGCATTAGATTTAAAAAATAGATTTTTTAATTTGAAAGTATATGATGCATCAAATAAGTATACATTGTTTATGACAAATACTGGCCAATATGAATTTTTGAAAGCACCTTTTGGTTTAGCTAATAAGTAAAACAAGTGTATCGATATCTACTTTTTTTGGACTGTGAACTTTACACAATTAAAAGAGTCTTTGACAGTTTTCAAAAATATACTCTATAATAATTTTCTCCATCCTTTAATTCTACATTTTCAACAATCCAATATAATTTTTCCCTGCTTTTCTTAGGTAATATCTAACTAAAACACTATCATTAATGTTGAAAATAAAGTCAGTCTGCACATTTTCTTCACTCTCATTCTTTTCTCTTTCTACGGTATGCATATTTTCCCACTCTCTTCCTTTCCTTCTGTAGTCGTCATATTTTCTCCACCGACATCTTCTTTTTTTTCTACACACTTTGTTGTCTTTATCTTTTGTTCGTCATTTATATTCAATTCTTTGTTGCCAGTATCATCCATAATTTTTTTTTTTCGTTAATTGTATAGTCAATGTATTTTTTTTCTTGTATTATATCATTGGTGTCATTTTTATATTCATTTTTATTACCTAATTCTACTTTGTCAGTCTTAATTTTGTGTATATATGTATTTTTTATTTCAATAGCAGCCTCACCTTACACAAAATAAAAAAAACGATTGGTGGCTTTCTACTACAACTGTATCAGACCTGGATAGGTCTGCCGATGGGAATCGATGTTCAGATACGGTTGAAAGATACGTCGAAACAAATTATAATGCACCCACGTACCTTGAGAAGATCGATGACGAGTTCCACCTC